AACATTCCAGGAAATTTCTAATTGATTTGTTCATAATTTATAATAATAATTTTATATATCAATAGTATATATGTATGTACATATCTACATTCCCCAAGCACTTCCCCCACAAAGACCTCATGCCAACAACTTGCACCTGGTTTTGTTCTTAGCGCCTCTTGGCAATGCAATGCAGATCTTTTTGGTAGAGATCTTTTGCCTCAGGTTGGGCATTCTCTTGCCAAGACTGAGACGGCGGCTTGTCTTAAATTTGCAATCTTTGGCTGTGAAACTTTCTCAATTGAAAATTGCATTTGAGCGCGGTTGCCGGCAAGGGAGGGGAACAAGCAAAGGCAATGGCAACGGCAACGGCAGCAGCAGCGATTTCCCTCGAATTTTCCGAGCCGCTTGACTGGAGGTAAGACTAAAAGCTGGAGCTGGAGCTGTGGTTGCTGCTGCCAGTGCTACCTGTTGTTGTTGTTGTTGTTGTTGTTGTTATTGTAGCTGGAAGTCGTTGCCGCCAGCTGTTGACCGAAAAAAAGTGTGTCAAGTTTTCGACAAAGATCAAGTACATCTCAGATAGTACGTCAAATGTATTTGGTGCTGCTGTTGGCGGTGCTGCAGCAGCAGGTCTACGGCTGCATCCGCTGCTCGTGCCATTCCAGTTCCCATGACCAAAATGTTCTCAATATCTGGCAGTGTTTTGGCTTAGATTTCGGTGCAATTTGATTTTTCTAGCGGTGCCAACGCTGCTCCAGTGAAAGTGCAGCCGCACGCCAAATGCCATGCAGAAATGTGTGGCAAGCACTCGCAATGCCAGCACGAAAGTCAATTATCCGCCGATCAAGTGAACAAAGCATTCGAATTTTAGAATGAAAATTGTCAGTCACCGCAGTAGTATGTGCATGAGCCGTAACCCACGAGGAAAAGTGCTCACAGCGAAGGCAGCATATGGAAGGCTAATTGAAGCAGTGGGAAGTGCAGAGAAGGGCTCATAGTTAGAAGTGTGAAGGAGGGTTAGATGAAGTGGAGCAGATCTAGACCAGCTTAGGATCATTTGAGTGCTGTAGTACATAATTTCTGTGTTCGGGTACGTCACACTATCATTACGATATCTATGCATATAGGGAACTAAACGAAATTGACTATTCCCATAGAGTGAGAGAGTTTCTCCAATTTAAGATACAAAACTGGCTGAGGTATATGAAATCAAATAAACATTAATTACTCTGAACCAACATTTCAATATTAGTGCCCGAGGCTATGCTTTAAAACCCTAGAAAGTGATTTGATATGTATGTAGAGAAGAAATATAGAAACTTCTAGCGCGTTCCGTATACCAGAATATCTATTTGAAATGTTCAGTCACTAGCTTAGATAGTCTACGAACCCGATTATAAGAACAGACAGATAGACAGACGGACATGGCTAGATAAGAGCACTCCCATCGATATAATAAACAGTACTCTAATGATCTTGGCCACCCCATCCTCTGTCTTCTACACACAATAGGGGCATTTTCAATTCAGCCAAGACTATAATAAAAAGTGAATAAAAGAAGCTTTTACTTCAATGTAAAAGGGGCATTACCTCAAGTAAGAAAAAACTCTATCAGAAACTGAATATCAAAAATATTTTCATTGAATAGAAATTTGTAATTATTCGATCTGAAGAGCAGAGAGAAGAGAGTTGAGAGCTGCGATCGGCAGTCAATTGAGGAAAATGTGCGGTAGCTGCGGCCGGTAACACCTGAAACTGCAGGTTCGATGCCGGCTGTTGGGGTCAATGTACCGTTGCGGCTGGGGTCAGTGCGCCAGCTGGTGGGCGTTGAGTGGCCAACGGCAATGGGTACGGTCATCGGTCCCAGCTGTGCCATGGCCGTACTTTGGCGACCTACATATTTTGGTTTCGTCTACACTGACCTACTGCTGAGAGAGTGCCGTGCGGGTCTGGGTCAGAGAAAGGGAGAACTTGTTTGTGGTAAGTGCTCACTTTTGCCACAATCACTTGGACGGCCACTTGCAGTGATTGCTCAATCGAAGAAGGTAGCCAACCGCAGCCGAGACCGCTACCAAGACCAAGACCAAAACCATTCCGGCGGCAATCAAGTTCAGCTTTGACTTTGCCTCTCGCTGACACCTGCAGCAATCAGCCGAGCGGGAATCAATCGTCATCAGATAGCAGATAATGATACAGATACAGATACAGATACAGATACAGATACAGATACAGATACAGATA